TAAATAAGCCATCTACTTAACTCATTTAACTGGAGTACAAGTTTCTGCTTACAAGCTTTGACCTCAAATTACTAAAAAACAAAACAAACAAACAAAAAACCCCAAAACATTATTTGGTAGGTCAGCACATTCTTTTTTAAAAAATATTTTATTATTTTTATTTTATATATATGAGTGTATTGCCTGCATGTATGTGAGTGCACCCGTGTAGTGCAATGCTGAGGGGGTCAGAAGAGGGCTTCGGATTCCCCTGGAACTGGAGTTAAGGATGGTTCGTAGCCACCATGTGGGTGCTGGGAATCAAACTTGGGTCCTCTGGAAGAGCAGTCAGTGTTCTTAACCGCTGAGCCATCTCTCCAGCCAGCAAATTCTTTACTAGAATCTTTTTCTTTAAAAAAATTTTCAAAAGCATTTATTTAGCATGCGTGTTGTGTGCACACACACATTCGCCACGGCAGGCTTGTGGACATCAGAGGACAACTTGCAGGAGTTGGTACTCTCCTTGCACCATGTGGATCCTGGGAATTGAACTCAGAGGGTAGAGCTGGCAACAAGCACCTTTTTATTTGCTGAGCCATAGTTCCCTATACAGTCAATTGCTCTTATCTTGTGCTACTTAATCCTGGATATGCATCTGAAACAGCTGGAGAGGGTTTACAACAAAAACATGGTAGGGCTCCATTCAGATCTACTGAAATTGGCTAGGCATGGGAAAAACAAATCTGTGTTCCCAGCACTTTAGAGACGAAGGCAGGAAGATCTTGAGTTTGAGGCCAGTTTGGGCTACACAGAGGGAACCCAGTCTCAAAATAAAATAAAGAAAATCAAAACAAAATAAAACCAGATCCTCTAACTGCTGTCCAAGGAATAGTAGGAAGACAATGAAATAAAAGAATAATCATGTGTTTTGCAAACAAAAGAGAAAACAGATGGCAGAATCTATGACCAATTACAAATTTCTGCATTTTAGGTATGGCCAGCGCTCATTTAAATTAGTCCTTCAAAATCTAAATAATGGGTTACGATAATGAAATTCTATGATTTTGAATGCAGAAACAGTAAGATAATAATTTATCTCGGATCAATTTTCCATTACATAAGTGAACTAAATGCCAACACATGAATATGCTGGCAAATGTACAAGTCAACTAGGTGATTTCTAACAATTGCAGGAGTATCATCTAAGTATTTGTCAAGCACACAAAAATACACAAAATCAACAGAAGTAGGAATTACTGTCAGTGATGGTTTATTCGTTGATTACTTTTTAAGCACTCACTTTTTAGTGTTTATACAGGAACATAAACACTATTAAGGACTGTCTCTTGACTTCAAAAGAATTTCTTGAACTCACAAGCAGTTGTGGTTACCTGCACAAGATCTGCACAAAACTGAGTTCATTAGTATCCTGTTATGGGGAAGGAGCTCATGGGCCCCACTCCTCCTAGAGGATTTATATGAGGTTAATGGTTGACGGGGGGTGGAAAGACATTTTCTTTGGTGAGGTAACCACTGTAAGGTGCCCAGGCTCCTATAAACAACCCCAATGAAACTCAAAGGGAGACACACATACCCCACATGACACACGAGACATGACAGAAGTGGGGGAACAGTAAGAGGAAGGAGATGGGACACACACACACACACACACAATGAGAAGGTAACAGGGATGAATACATCCATATATGAAAGTACTATAAAACCCATTATGTATAATTAATATGTGCGGAGAAAAAACAAAGTGCAGTGCCACAGAAGTCAAGCATTATTTCCAATAAGGTCTTTACTATATAATTTATATCCAAAATACCTACTACATTCAACTTGTTCTTTACAGGCTCAATTCACTGTCTAGACAAAGGTCCCAAGCCACTTCATCAGTTTTAAGAAGTACCATCACCTCTGTGTGACAGTAGTATCTGGTCATTGTCACCAGATACAAAATGGCACCTATTTTAAGAGAAATGTTGATTAAAGAGCCAGTGACCTGGATATGATGGTTCACACCTGTAATCCCAGGTGTTAGACAGAGACTGGAGGATTACCCTGAGTTTGAGGCCAGCCTCAGCTACAGGCTGAGATTTAGTCTAGAAAACCAAAACCAAACCAAAACAAACAGACCAAAAGCCCCCTCCAAGATACTGGAGATGTAGGCATGGCTTTTTTGACTCAAAATTTCTTCTCGAAACTAAAATCTCAATTGAGATTTCAAAAAGGCAAAAACTTTAGTACTGAAAATAGGCACTAAACTAAAATGAAACTCTTGGTGTTTACCATGGCTTTGTATCTGAAGCAAAAATCCTGTGTTGTCATTTGCATTGAGATGAAAATTAAACCCACAAAAGGTTTCTTTTTAAAGAAAGAAAAAAGCCCTCTAAATCACCCCAAAACAATACCAACCAACTACCTAGATATATTAAAATGTGAAAAATTTTGTGCCTCTGAGTTGATGAATACTGAACATAAACACCTCACTATATTTTTAATTCAAAGGATCAAACAAATGCAGGAAGGTGTTTGGAAAACAGAAAAGGTGTAAGTATAGACAATATTAATTAAGAAGCTTCATACTTTGAAGTAACCATGAAAATGAAAGCAGTGATCAGGCCAGGTGTGGTAACCTACATCTTTAATCCCAGCACTCGGGAGGCAGAGGCAGGCAGATCTCTGTGAGATCAAGGCTAGCCTGGTGAGTTCCAGACCAGCTGGAGCTACAGGGAGACTGTCTCAAAACAAAACCAAAACCAAAACCATGAAAGCAATGAATCCTAAAATTCAGCTGGATTCTCACATTACATCTTTTGATCAAGTTTATAACTGTGAAGTAAAAAACAAATACAAAATTTTTTTTGTATTACCCTGCTGAGTATTGTCTGAAACCTGACAATATGACATGGATTTTATGATTTAGATGGGAGGCAGGGGAAACCCTCTCTGTAATCTGAGATGAGTCTAGTGTTCTTTCGCCTTCATGCACCCACTGGCAGAGGTACAATGGAAAAGAGGCTCAGCGGAGTTCACATCACTTCCTCAGGTCTCATGTATACTAAACACTATGAAGCCTCTGGGAAACAGGTGGGACCAACCAGGCATATCATTCCAGCTCCAGACTGCCCACTTACTTGTCTTCTCCAAGCACCACACCAAATCCAACGTGGACCACTCGAGTCACTTTAGGGTCATACCAACCAATCATCTGAGCAGCAGCGAATATTGTCTGGAAGTGAGTAGCCTATAAAAAAACGCAAGTAGAAAGTTGTTTGTTAGGTTTCTAATTTTTTAGAGATTAATTTTTAAAATTATGGGCATGTGGGTATATGCACTTATTCATAGACATACTCACAGATATACATTTAATTAAAAATGAAACTTCCAAATAAAAAGGAGGCTCTGTGCTTAGTATTTTTATGAAATTCAAACCACAAATCTTTATAGGCAAGTTATTAACACAAAAGTTCTCATTTCCTATTATGTGAGTGACACTGAGAGCAAGACCATGAGTACATTTTCTACATCAGTGGTTTTACAAAAGCCTGGCATGTGCCAGGCCTATAATCCCAGCACCTGGGAGGTGAGGGATCAAGAGTTCAATATGATATTCAGCTACACAGCAAGTTTTGAGGCCAGCCTGAGCTACATGAGACCCTGTCTACTAAAACTAACATACAAAGGTTTAAAGAGCAACAGAGGGGCTGCTAAGGATAAAGCTCAGTGGCAGAGTACTTGTCTATCACGTACCAAGTGCATGACCCCTACAACAGCAAAAAAATTTGAGTAAAAGTGACTAAGGGCAAATTCACATGTAATAACTTCTACTAAATGTTAGGTCTCAGAAAGTCAGGTAGGACTCCAAGTGTGAGGCCAACATGTGCTACATAGTAACACTTACCTCAAAAAACACAACAGATGTTTAGTCTCACCACCATCACGGTGAACAAAAGTTCAAAAAAGTAACCTTCTCCACCCAGGCATGGTGGCACATGCCTTTAATCCCAGCACTCAAGGCAGAGGCAGGTGAATCTCTGTGAGGTTGAGGCCAGCCTGATCTACATAGCAAGTTCCAGGCTAGTTGGGGCTACAGGAAGACCCTGTCTCAAAAAAACCTCCTAAATTCTCTGGGGAAAATTTACCACCTACTGGTACCAAATGCTACCAACCTCAGCACACTCTCTTCCTGTGATCTGACAGCCCCTAGATAAGTCTAAACTTACTTGTCCATTGTCCACCACATAGATAATTTTATCTGCTTTTTCCTCAAACAGTCTTTGTTTAATGGCAGCCAGGTCAGATGTGTCGTAAGTATAGCCCCCATCTGATTTCACGATGGTTAATGGTATGGAACACCCTGGGACGAACACAATCTTTCTGCCGTCATCAACTTGCACAAATCCTAGAAAAAAGAAAAGAAAACACAACTTCATTGCTAATGCTAAAAGAGCCCTGCTGGAACCAGAATGTTACCTTGTTTAGGACTACATACATACTTTGCCCATTCTCTGAATATTTTAATTAAAAAATTGGCTATATATTTTGCAGGTGTGTGTGTGGAGGTCAGAGGTAAGTTTTGGGGTGTTGGTGCTCTGCTTCCCCATGCTGAGCCCAAGGACTAAGCTCAGGTTGTCAGGCTTGGCAGCGAGTGTCTTTACCTGCTGACCATTCTTGGCTGTTCTCCATGAATATTTTAGAAGATAATTACTAAAGAGTCAAGGAATTCACATGATTGTCCCCCCATGATCTATTAGAAGCCTTGAGAAATGGCTACTGTCATGGCTGACTTCAGGGCACAGGGTTGATATCCTGGAAATGTTCTGTACTCGCACTACTCCTGGCTCCAAACTCTTCACATGCTACCTCAAAGGAAACACCTGCTGTGCAGGCACAAAACATAAACACATGCATTTTGTTCTCTGGCTAGAACCACAACCTTCTTCTAGGTGGAACATGCTCAACCAGAGGATTCAGAATTTCAAATGAGAAGTGGAAAGAAACCAAATTATGTTTACGTGTTCATGATGAAAAAGAAAAGTTCTTGGATTCAAGAAGGGACAGGAACGAACATCCAATACCTAGGTTTGATTTTTGTGTCAACTATAATACGAAATCCCAAATTTAATGTTCACAGTATGTAGTAAACAACACTGTGCTGTCTTATACTTTAGAAAACCGAGACTTAACATAAAAGCAGTATTAGACAGTGGTTTAAGCTGCAATCTCTGAAGCAAGACTGTGTTTGAATGTCAAATTCATCACTTATTACCTGTAACTTGTGTGTGCCAACTTTCCCATAAAAAACCAAAACCCAAACAAAACACCATCTGGGCTGGGAATGTTGTTCAGTGGGGCAGTGCTTATGGAGCATGTGCAAGACCCTCTGTTCAACCCTCAGCACCACACACATAAAATTGAGGCTTATTATCTTATCATAATGGTTCCTGGGCTCCATTTCCATATTCAAGGACCAGGCTTCTATTTTGGTGTGGTGGTACACGCTTATAATCCCAGCAAGTGGGAAACTGAGGCAGGAGGAGCACTGTGAATCTGAGGCCAGCCTGAGCTACACAGTGAGACCATGTCTTAATAAACCAAATTGGCAAATTTCTGCATCAGAAAATCCCTGGTGATAAATGAAGAGGAATGAGAACATACTAACAAAGTGTTCCAGTGAGGCGATGCAGCCATCCTAAACCATAGCCACAGCAACTATCCAGGGCAAAGTGTGAGGAGGAAATTTACAGCTGAATCAGGCTGTCAATACCAAACTCACAAATCAATTATTCTTAGTATCACAAAGAGCCAACCACACAGTGCCTGCATTATTTGGAAAAAAAAACCCCCTGCAAACTAGAGTTGAATGAGTCCTCTTTAAAACATGTAGATAGAGCTGGGTGTGGTAGTACACGCCTATAATCTCAGCACTGAAGAGTTTGAGGTCAGCCTGGGACACAGAATCAGAGTGCTTAAGAAAAAGAAACACCAAACCGGGTGTGATGGCGCACGCCTTTAATCCCGGCACTTGGGAGGTAGAGGCAGGTCAATCTCTCTGAGTTCGAGGCCAGCCTGGTCTACACAGAGAGCTACAGACTGGCAGGGAGGCCCTGTCTCAAAAAACACAAAACACAATATGGTAAATTCTATGACAAAATGCCCTTGCCTTTTTTTTTTAAGACAGGGTTTCCCTGTAGCCCCAGCTGGCCTTGAACTCACATCCGGCATGGCCTTACTTTTTTAAAAGAAATACAGGTAGGCATGGTGGTACATGCCTGTAACTCCAGTACTTTAGAGGCAGAAGGGAAAGGATCACCACAAGTTTGAGGCCAGCCTGGTCTGCTATAGAGCAAGTTCCAGGCTAGCCAGCATTTCACAGCAAGAAAGAAGTACAAAGGAGAAAACACACATAGATGTAATATACAGACTGAAAAAAATGATCAAACCACAGTACTCAAGAGACAGAAGCAGGCAGATCTCTGTAAGTTCAAGGTCAGCCTGCTCTACATAGGAAGCTAGAGGCTTCTTTTTTTTTTTTTTTTTTTTTTTTTTTTTAAAAAAAAAAAAAAAAAAAAAAAAAAAAAAAAATCAAAATAATAAATAATGAAGCTGGATATGGTATATACACAAGTCCAGCATTTGGGGAGCTAAGGCAGGAGGACAGTGAATTCCAAGCCAGCCCAAAATCTATAGGAAACCCTGTCTCTGAATGAACAAATGGACAAATAAAATTAATCTCAATGGGTATTTGAACTGCCTATTTAATGGTATTAAACTACTGTGGGAGCTGGGGAGGTAGCTTAGCATGTATGAGGCCCTGGGTTCAATCCCCAAATGGGAAGGGAGATTACTGAAAAGCATGATGGCTCACACCTATAATTCCAATATTGAGGACGCAGAGGCTGGACAGTTCCCAAGAGTTCCAGGCCAGCTTGGTCTACATATTTAATTACAGGCCAGCCAGGGCTACAATAGCAACACCATGTCTCCAAAAAATCAAAGAGAAAAAGAATTCACTTTTAAGGAAGGGCATGTTCTTACAGGGACAGTTTAGGTGAAATTATGTAACGCTGTGTATGGGAAGGTACAGACAGGACAAGTTTGGCCAATAATTAAATTAAACTTGTTGAAAACTGTGTGATGAGTTTATGGTCCTCATAATTACTATAAAATCTACATTCTTACCTGATTGTAAGTTCTAATGACAATAAAAAAATTAAAGCGTATAATGCCTACCTTTATCTTCAAATTCCTTGACAATATCTTTCATTCTATCTTGGTAGAAGGATTCTCCTCTCTCTACTAAAGTGATGTCCAAAGCATCATAGATTTTATTAAACTCTAGGGGGAAATAACACCAAATAAAGTACATGAATAGAAATTTAAACAAAAGAGAACACACATCTAACATTTTTGAATACTTGTTATTTGAAACATACAGAAAGTAAATACAGAAAAAGTACAAAACAGAACAGTATTCACATGTTACCATTTTGGATAGGAATGTACTAAGAAACACATTGAAATTCTCTGTCTTAGGATACAGGTCAGTGATAGAGCACACACTTAGGATGTGTGAGGCCCTGGGCTTATTATCTAGGAATTCCCCCACCTAATGCCCAAAACATCAGCATCACTACTTTTCTTCTTACCTACATCTATTTTTTTTTCCTGAGAGAAAAAATGGACTTGTTATTCCAGCAGTTTGATCCCCTCCCCGCAATGGAGGTGTCATGGTTGGTGGTCCTCACTGCATTTCCTGAGGAATGCCTGAGTTTCTTATGATCTGGTTCCTCTTCTTACTGAACCAAACTGCTGAGCACTTCTTCCTGTGATAAGGATCATCTCGCCTATGCTGGCTCCCAACATCAGGCCCAAGATTACGAGGCCATCTGCTTTCTTCTGTCCCGCTCACCCCCCTACAGAGTTTGGGACAGAATCAATGAGATGATCTGAGAGCCAGTGAACTGAATTCCCTCAGGTCTCCTAACCACCTGACCCAGCACTTCAGACCAATGCTCCAGCCTTTTGAGACCTCCTGTTTTTGCTGATGTCCTTGTCCAGCAGGGAGTAGCTAAAGAAAGACCGCTGTCACCCCTTATCAACAAAAGGCTGGAATGTTAGGTTCCTGACAGACTCCTAAAATGGTGCCACAGCTTCCAATATTCTAAAATGGCAGGTCCAAACTTAGCCCGGGAAAGTCCCTCTGCTTATTGGTAGATCAACCAATCCCACACTAAACTGCCCAGCTTAGGTTATGGAAAGTTGTTACCCAAGCACCTAACTGCCTAGCGTGATGGTGCACGCCTTTAATCCCAGCATTTGGGAGGCAGAGGCAGGTGGATCTCTGTGAGTTCAAGGCCAGCCTGGTCTACGTAGTGAGTTCTAGGACAGCTGGGGCTACAAGGAGACCCTATCTCAAAAAGACCAAAAACTAAAAAGGCCAGCCTGGTCTACATAGTGAGTTCCAGGACAGCTGGGGGTATAGGAAGACCCTGTCTCAAAAAGACCAAAAAAAAAAAAAAAAAGATGACTGACTTCTGCTGCTAGCTGCTGTCTCTCTGATCCCAGGAGGCAGTCCAGTGGTTTGATCCCCCTCAATAAACTGCTAGCTCCACCCCCATCATAATTTTTTTCAAAAGTAAATGAGGGCCTGAGGGTGTATTTGTGTAGCATTCTTGAAGTTCTGGGTTCAATCTCTAGCACCAAATAAACTCGAAGTAGTGGTGGTGCCTTCTAACCTAGCACTGAGGAGGAGGAGGAAAGAGGATCTGAAGCAGCCAGTTTGAAGCCAGCCTGGGACAGATAAGACCCTGTCTCAGAAACAATCTGGGCACAGTGATGCACTCCTGCAATCCCAGCATTCAAAAGACGGAGGCAGCAGGAAGCAAGTTCAAGGTCTGAGTAGGCCTCACGGCAAGTGCCTATCTAAGAAGTAAAAACTAAACAAAACCAAAATTTATACGTATAAAAGTAGGAAAGCCTTCCCTAGTTGATTATCAAACATTTACTGAATTTTCTTAGTTTTGTCTTGTTCTGTCCTACTCACTTGTTACTTGTCAGTGACATAGGATTGCCCAACTGCAGTATTAGAAAATAATATCTAGGGCACAAAGCAATCATTAGTCTTCACTGTGGAAGACCTACTGGCTATTTTTATTCATCCACTATTCAAAGTGACCTTTAATTTTGTCAAGCCAAATATGCTGGCACATGCCTACAACCTTAATACTAGAGAAAGAGAGGCAAAAGATTACTGTGAATTCAAAACTAACCAGAGCTACAGAGGCCTTGTCTCAAAAAGAACAAAACGAAGGTTGGCAAAATGGCTTAGTGGATGAAAGCATTTGCCACACAATCAGGAGAGCTGATTTCCATCTCTGGAACCCATGGGTGAGCCCGGATGTAGGGCCTGGAGAGATAGCTCAATGATTAAGAGCATGTACTGCTCATGTAGACCTCAGTTTGGTTCTCAACACCCATGGCATGTGGCTCACAACCTCCTGTAACTCCAGCTCCAGGGGATCTGACACCCTCTCCTAGTCTCTGCAGGAACTTGAACTTAACACACGTATCTTGTGTGTTATCTTAAAAGTGGATGTTTGTTCTAGTTCTTTTTTTTGAGGCAGGGTCTCACTTTAGTCACTGCTGGTCTGAAACAGATGACGGAGACCAGGCTGGCCTCAATCTCTTAGAGATCCACCTGCCTCTGCCTCTTGGCTGGGATTAAAGCAGTGTGCCACCATGCCTGGCTTAAAAATAAATCTTAAATGGTAGACCCAACTCTCAAAAGTTGTTCTTGTCCTCCGACCTCCATGTGGGTTATGGGCATGTGCATGTATACACACACACACCCACATACACTAATTTAAAAAATTAAGTGTTTGGGGAGGTTTGAGGAAACAAGCAGTCACAAAACAACAAAATCAAAAAGCTAGTGACAAAAATCCAAGATCAATCCTGAATGAAGACTTAAGCAAACTATACGCACAGAATTTACTAGATGAACGAAGCCTAGAAATTCACCTTCACGGGAGACATCACAGATGAGCTGCCAAGCTTTTATAAAATCTGGATTTTTATTCTGGAGCAAAACAACACACTGATATGCTCGCTTCTTAAATTCTTCCTCAGTGTCAAACCTCTTCTTAGATTCCTATTTTTAAAAAAAAGATTTGTGAGGACTCAGTACTGTATTTCCAGATTAAGAATTTATTCATTTCTATACATATGCACATATTACAAGATAAAAAAGATTCAGGATATCAGAACAAATGCTCAACATTAATAGCCAAGAATACAGTTCAAGTTCCAGGAGGAAAAAAAAAAAAATGAAAAAACAAAGCAAAACACATAGTGCAAGAGCTGGGCATGGTCTAGGTGGGGATATGGTGCCGTGGATAAAGCACTTGCCCTGCAAGTTGAAACCCCATAGTTTGATCTCTAGAACCCAAGTAACAGCCAGGCAATCTTGACAGCTGCCTAGAATTCCAGCAGACAGGGGTCCCCAGGGCCACCTAGACTAGCTGGAAAAGGTGAGCTCCAGGCTCAGCAAGAAACTCTGCCTAAAAAGGTAAGTGATAAGTTGGGCACTGTAGTGCATGACAGTAATAATCTTACAAAACGAAAACAAAAAGTAAGCCTTGAGTGCTTTAGTTTTATTTGGGAGTAATACATGCTGACTCAAAGAAAAAGAAAAACAGTACTATCAATCTCACCTCCCACTACCAGTGGGAATATATTAGGGATGCTTCCAGACATTTCTTTGCAAATACATGTTTTAAGAAATGTTGGGAGGGGAGTCTCGAAAGACGGCTTGGTAGTTATGAGCACTAACTGCTCTTACAGAGGACCCAGATTTGATTCCCAGCACCCACATGACAGTTAACAGCCATCTGTAACTCTGGTTCTAGGGCATCTGACACCCTCTTCTGACCTCTGTGGGCACTGCATGACACAGGTTCACTTATATGCATGCAGGCAATACACTTACACACATAAAATAAAAAATAGAATAAAATAATATTATATATATATATATAAATAAAAGTTGGGGCTGGCAAGAAGGCTCAGTGGGTAAAGGTTTGCACCAAGCCTGATGACCTGAGTCATCAGGACTCATAATGGAAGGAAAGAACCCATGCCCACAAGTTGTATTCCGACCTCTGTGCTTGCTGTGTATGCAGCTCCCCCAATGTATACAAAATTAAAACATTTAGGAAAAATTTGAAACTGATTTTCTTTACTGCAGTCAGTAAATTTCAGTCATGTAACAGCAGTTAGAAGCACTGGCTGCTCTTTCAGAGGGACCTGGGTTTTGTTCCCAGCCCCTATGGAGGCTAACAACCCTCCATAACTCCAGTCCCAGGGCATCTGATGCCCTCTTCTGGCCTCCGATGGCAATGCATGCATATACACAATATACTCATATACATAAAAAAATTCGAACAGATGATTACAAAATTTAACCAATTTAAAATGAACATATATCTTTTTAAATTTTCACTAGAAAGCACCAAAACCTAAGTGTTTACTTTCTAATTCAGTAATCTAATTTTTGGGAAAGTAGTTCATTTACCATAAAAAAAAAAAAAATTTAAAACAAGTCAACATGTACAATGTTACTTTCTGAATAGCTCAGTCCCATCAAATGGAAAAAAAGATTTTACAGTGGACTAATAAAAACTTTGTGACATCAATTCAACAAAACAATGATCATAAAAAGTAACATGTAAAATCATACACTAAAATGTTAAATATGTACAACACAGAAATCATGATAGGATTTGCAAATATTTGCATATAGTCTAGTATACATATAGCATATGTCCATTTATATATGGATTAGTCAGAGTCAAAGAAAATAGTTCCCTATGGTGAGAAACTTGGTCTATTTTTCCTTTTTCTGTTTGTCCTTTGAGACAGTGCTGGGCTCAAGTTCACTGTGCAGCTGAGATGGACTTCTCACTCTTCATCTTCCTGCCTCTGCTGCCCTAGTGCTGGGGTTACATACATACACCACGACACCCACCATAGGTACGTCTTCTAAAAACTGCTCTTAGCTGGCAAGATGGCTCACCAGGTAAAAGCACTTGGCAATAAGCCTGGACCTGAGTTCAATCCATGGGACTCACATGGTGGAAGGAAAGAACTGGCTTCTGTAAGTTATCCTCTGACCTCCACATGCACTCCATGACACATGACCCCTGCCTCCCCAAAACATAATGAATGAGATTTTAAAAGTAAATTTAAAAACAAAACAAAAACACCTGTCGGGTATGGTATCTCATGCCAATAATTTTGGTACTTGACAGGCTGAGGTAGGAGGATTGCCATGAGTTTGAGGCAATCCTAACAGAAGCAGTACATTACAGGTCAGCTCAGGTTATAGAGAAAGACCCAGCCTCACAAGAATGAAAATAAAACAAAAACTACAAACCCAAACTGTTTATCCACTTCTATTTTCAAAATATTAAACAAGTTTTGTACACTACCATATATTTCTATCATTGAACAGGTAATATGGTGGGATCACATAGCAAAAGACACGTAAAAAAGTAGAGCACAGCTGTTTCTGTGACTACCACCAGTGTAAGAGATCCCAGGGTGGTTATGTCCTACACACAAAACAAGTACCATGGATCTAGGAAGCAAAGAGAATTCAACTTTTCAAATAAGCGAACTCTGTGAATCAGCTTTTATTTCATTTATATGACGCAATATCACTGGGGCCAGGCCATTGTGAGAAACTTCATGTTTGTTACATGATTTTTAAGTCCAAGATTTTACCAGCTTTAATTTGTTCTATTTTATTACACAGTAGTTTCAAAAACAGTTTTGAACTAAGAAAAATAGATAATTATGATGAGTGGTTAGATGTACATTAAAATAACGTTGCCAAACCTTATAAAAGGCCTGAAGATCCCCAATAGGAGGTGAAACTGTCAGGTAATCTGGGAATTTATCTTGCAGGTGAGCGATGAGCATGCCAAACTGGGTCCCCCAGTCTCCTACATGATTTAACCTAATACCAATCAGACAACATAAAATTTAAAAATTATAAAGACATTTACACTAAATGAAAAGTACTTTTTATTAGATCCCACAAACACTTCAGTACCAGCCCACCACACTTAAGGTGAAACCTTTGTCTCTTACGTTCAGTTCTGTACAACCTGTAATAGAGGCTGCATACAGCAGGAATTTGGGACTTGCTGAACTTGCTATAAACTGTGTATTGTGTAGCTACTTAGAACCATGATAGTTGAGTCAATGTTAGTCATTCCCACAACATGAAAATTGCAGAGGCAGGAGAGATGGCTCAGTGGGTAAAGGCACTTATCACCTAGTCTGAAGATGTAGTTCAATCTTGGGACCCACATGGTAGAAGGGGAGAACAAACTCCCCAAAGTTGTTCTTTGACCGTCAAAGCCCCCTCCCCTACAAATAATAAGTGTAATTTAAAAATTAAAAAGAGGCTGAGGGCTAGACAGATGGCTCAGCGGTTAAGAGCACTGGCTGCCACAGATGACCCAGGTTCAGTTCCCAGCACCCACATGGTGGCTAACAACTGCCCCTAACTCTAGTTCCAGGGGATTTGATGCCCTCTTACTGAGTGAATGGCTAAAATAGAACTAAGCTTCTAAACTAGTGTGTTAAAGAGTCTTCAAAACTGAGATGTGTCATTTTTATAGATTTCCAAACAACAGCAAGAAGATACACCTTAGCACATCGTATCCTGCAAATTCAAACAGGCGGCTCATACTCTCTCCTATGATGGTTGACCTCAGGTGGCCTACGTGCATCTCTTTAGCTATGTTGGGAGAGGAAAAATCAATTACAACCTGAAACAGAAAAAGAAAGACTTTAAAAGGAGGCATATATTTATTGTGCTAGCATCTTACAATAAATCAGACAAATGTAGTTTGGATTGTAATTTACATGTACTAGATTTCCTTGTGGATCTAGTTATACATTACTAACTGAAAAAGAATAAAATTAATTTGTACCAATTCCTATTGCAGTAATACTTGCCTAAGTATCAGTCACCTACCTCAAAGGCCTATGGGACAAGGTTAAAAAAAAATTACAAGACCTATCAGAACTATCAGAACAACTATAAGCATAATCTCAAACATTAATGACCAAGTTTCAATATAAAGTGAAAGTCACTCCCTGTGATGGCATTTACCATGCCCTTCTAAACATTAAGGTATTAATACAAGGGCATACACATACCTTTTTATTATCTCCAAGGGCAGGTAGCTGAACTCCATTTACTAGGAGATTGGTCAGCTGTTCTGATACAAAATCCCTTCGCAAGTGGACATTAATGAACCCTAAAGAACAGTACAAAGGAAAACGATCAGTCTCCTTTTTGGGATGGCTGCCACTTACTCCCAAGGATTTTTTTCAATTTTACTTATGCTGCCTCTGGCAAAATTCTTCAGGATTCCAATACCACTTGAGAGTTTCACTCAAGTCCTTTGGAAAACATCTCCCTCAGTATCTATTCCAAACCTTCTCTCCTCCTGAAAACTTACTTAGTCCAGGCCCTTGACTTTCACAAATGATGTTTATAGCTAAACAGAGGGCCCTTTGCTACAGAAAGCCCTTAGCTGATGGAAAAGGGAATCATCAGAAGGCAAAGTGGTAGTTCTTTACTTATATTCCAAGGTGTTTTTACAGTCTAGCTCACTATACCATTTTTTTGGAGGTGGGGGAAGTGGGATATTCTGGGGTTTAAACTTGGGGCCTCCTACATGGTTGGTCAGCCCTCTACCTATGAGCTACATCCCTATCAGTCTTGTTTTTTGTGTTTTGTTTTTTGAGACAGGGTCTCCCTACAGCCCCAGTTGGCCTAGAACTCACTATGTAGACCAGGCTGGCTTTTATCTCAGAGGTCCACTTGCCTCTGCCTCCTGAGTGCTGAGACTAAAGGCCTGTGCCACCACGCCCGGCCACCTTTTAAAATTTTGAGACAGTCTCACTAGTGTAGGCTAGCCTTCAACTTACCATCCCAGCCTTCTGAGCAGATGGGACCACATTCATGTATACCACATGACAACTTTTTCAGTTAAAAAAAAATTTTTTTTTTTGGCCATGAGAGATCAAATCCAAACACCTTACAGATGCTAGGAAAGTACTTTACCACCGAGTTAACAGTCCAGGCCAAGTATATAAATGTTAACTGTTTTTAAATCTTAAAAAGCATGCATATCAATATAGCTATTAATAAAGATAAGAGACCATACCAGGCCCAGCAATTTCAACTTTTTCAATACATTCATTGTTCGGCAGATGTTTGGTAATGTTTTCGGCAATTTCTCTAGGATTAACTTTCTGTTCCTTCGCTTTGAGCATCTACAACACAATGCGACACACTTTATTACACTCTAGGTCTCAGCAAGTTACTTGGAAATGTGTCAGAGATAAAGCATGAGCCACATTTTGTAAAATACTCATCAAACAGCAGGATCACCTGTGCATGGATAAAGCATCCAGTGCCAAAAGGAATTAGCAATTGTACAAACTCAGTTCAAAATGAGTTGCATATGCATACCTGGAACATTTAAAGGAAGATACAACGAAGTTTACAGCATGAACCCTAAACCCAGCATCTTTGCATCTTTAATTTTCAAGTCACCAAAGTGTCTAATATCCAAGTTGAGCACTTGTGGACTTGGGACGCAGCTGAGTGGTTGAGTACTTGCTTAGCATGTATGACTGAGAAAAAAAGCCTGTGCTCAAAAGCAAACTTCTTCATCACGAAGGAAAAAGATGCAGGCTAGATGCAGTAAACAACTTCTGCATTAGATCATGTAGCTACTGAAAGTAAGGAATGCCTCTGCTTAAAAATAAAATGCTGCTGGTATAAGTATCATATGCTTCTAATCCCAGTATGTGGGAGGCTGAGGCAGAATTACCTGGGCTACATAGAGATCGTGTTTCAAGAAACCACAATAGAAAAAAAAGATAATACACAAAAACATCTTAGCTATAACAAAAATTTGATGATGCTAGTTAGCAATTTGCTGACTCTTTAAAAAAAAAAGTCTTTCCTGTAGCTAGGATTGTGATAACCCTTCTGACTCAGCCTCAAGTACTGAGATTACAGTATGTGTCACCATGCCTAACAACCATTTGTTAACAGTAGCAAATATTGCCTTCAATGAGCTACATCCCCAGCCCCAAGGCTTTCACATTGTTATTTCTATTCCTAGGAGTGCCAATAATACCTGAGAGCTAAGTCTAACAGAGCCAGTCACAAGAAATGATACATCACCTGAGAAATACCCATAGCACTATTACACTGATAGTCCCCAAACTTGGGCTGCTGACTTGGCGTTACGATCAGAGGAGGATTGTCCAAGTCTGGGTATGCAGCCTTAATGGCATAGCCAAACACTTCTTGTAGGTGGTTGTTGATGTTAATCATATTTTTAGTTGGTCTCTTCCTTTCTGCCTGAAGGCTCTGCAGGAAAAGAAGAAGAATCTGTCATGAAGTAGTATCAAATAAAATTTCCAGAGGTATTTTGAGAAACCTTAAAGTATGCTAAGGAAAACCAGAAGGGAACATGCTGAGACATAGAATAGGATCCTAAGACAGCTGTGGGAATACTGAGGCCTTCCTGCCTACATTTGTATTGTTAAAACAGACACAAGTAAAAAGTGGTGACTAAATAGGAAACAAGTATAAAGTCTGTCTTGAATTACTTCACATCAAGCACTGGAAGCGAAAATCCAACAATCACACTCTCCAATCACACTCTCCAAGACTGACCTCTTGAAGGGTATGAAACACAAGGGAACAAGTGAGTGGCATCACTGGACCAGAAAAACGGGTTCTGCTTTCCTATAAATAAGCCCTGTTGGGCCTACTACCTCTTATTTCTCAATTTCTTTTTAAGTGGAGCACATTCATTTCAGATAGTACTTAATTACTCCCATTATAATTCATCACACCTTCACACATTCTCTCTCCACTACCAGACTGCTGAATACGGGGCAAGTATATCATTCACAGTTCTATCCACTGCACCTGGCACTGCACTGACAGCATAAGAGATTATCAAAGCTGAGCAGCCTAGAGGGCTACCGAAAGTTCAAGGCTGCCTTGGTCTGCATATCCAGTACCAGGTCAACCAGGACTACACAGTGAGACCCCATGTCAAAAAAGAGGGAAAAGAAAGGGGAACGCAGTTCAGTAGCACAACAGCACCTACCTAGTATTTAAAAGGCCCTGGATACTGTCCTCAGCACTCTTCCCAACAAAAGAGTGAATAACCACATGCCATTTTTTTAAAAAAAGACAGGGTCTCCCTGTAGTCCCAGCTGGCCTGAAACCAGGCTGGCCTTGCTATGGCCTGCCTGTCTGCCAAGTGCTATGACTGAAGGTGTGTACCACCACACCCAGCCTTAAGCAGATTTTTTTTTGGGGGGGGGTGGGGTGGTGTGTGTGTCTTATTTTGGAGGCTGGGTCTCCCTGTAGCTCCAGCTGGCCTGGAACTTACTACGTAGACCAGGCTGGCCTTGAACTCACCGAGATAGCCTGCCTCTGCCTCCTGAGTGCTGGGATTAAAGGCGTGCACCACCATGCCCAGCTAAGCAGATATTTTAATGGAACATAAATGAAAATGCTGTTTGTATACTATGCACCTTTTTTTTTTTTTCCTGCTGCTGCCAGGCTGGGATTTGAACCCAGGGTCTCAAGTATACTAAGAAAGTGCTCTAAAGCAGAGCTATATCCTTAGGCCACTAACCACAATCATCTGTTAATCAAAAGATCAAAGTCAGGCCTAGGGGCCCACACCTGAAATCTCAGCACTTAGAAGGGTGAGGCAGTAGGATGGAGGTCAACCTGGGTGTTAGTAACAGCCTGTCTCAAAATGATCCCCCCCAAGATTAACAGCATAAAATATTAATGGAAATAACAGTATAAAATAATGTATGTTATGTCAACATCTGGACTTAGTACTCGATATGCGTTATCATGCAAGGCATAACAAAACTGAGTTTGTTACCATTTTTATTTCCATAAGTAGTGATTGACCTGCTATAGATTACAAACAAGTGACTCAACCAGGTTCAAAATCTGGTATACACAATGACCAAGTTCAATGCTTCATCATTGAAAACACACACGCACCTCTCTCTCTCTCTCTCTCTCTGTACTGGAGACAAGGTCTCGCTCTGTAGCCCAGGGTGACCTCAACTTTACAACAAACCTCCTGCCTCAGTCGCCAAAGTGTTGGGATTATAGGCAAGAGCCACTATGCCTAGCATGAAATTATACTCTTAAACTCACTAAAAAAAAATTGATTTAAGTTTTTTGTTTGCTTTTTTGGTTTGTTGTGACAGGGTCTCATGTAGCTGAAGCTGGCCTTGAATTCCCAATCCTCCTGCCTCTATATCCCAACAGTTGGGATTACAAGCATCAGATACCATGCCTGACTGATTGTAAATTTCTAGTTCATCAATAACTGATATCTCTGTGATGTCTTATTCATGTTTTTCACAGTCTAATGACTTTTCAATGGCAAATACTGTTTAGTCATTATCTTAACTCCAAAATCTATAATAAAATTTTAACTTTAATTTTTAAAAAATGTACTGCCTTCAGAGGTCAGAAGAGGGCATCAGATTCCCTGGACTGGAGTTAATGCCAGTGGTTAGCTGCCACGTAGGTACTGACTGGGAACTGAACCCAGGTCTCCTGCAAGTGCTTTTAATCGCTGAACTCTCTCTCCAGCCCCCTAACTTTTTATTTTTAAAGGATTACATGCTGGCATGTATTTTTGTGTACTAAATATGTACACGCATACATAAAATCCAGTGTACTTACTTCATCCAAATTAACACTTGATAATGAATTTAACGCTTTTTCTTTTTCCCCTTTCCCTCTCTCTTCACTCCCCCTCCTTCCCTTCTCTCCAGATGAGACTTAGGAAATTCTACCCTGGCTGATATGGTGGCAAACTCCTTTAATTCCAGCACTTGGAAGACTGAGACAGGAGGACTGCCAAAGATTGAGGCCAGCTGGGCAAGACCACGTCTCAAACAAAACCAAAGGAAACATGCACCCTGGCACAATCATCCCTGTATAACTTGATTTAACTTGATTTATGCACTACGAAAAACCCAACATTATGTAAATATTTATAGCTCTTGAGAAAATTGAGGTTAGAAGCTGACTTCTCAAAATTTAATGGGATTCTGTAACAGGCACTGTCATGACAGTAATCTTAAAACCAAAGTATCTGTAAATTCCTAATAAATAAGTACCGAGCTTTCATATTAAAAAACACATAAAGATAGCTCAATGGCAGGGAATAAGATAAAACTGAAGCTGCCACGTTATGGAGAACCAGGGTAAAATACTGACAACACCATGGGGCACATGCTTGAAGTTGGAATGAGTGGCCAAGGGTCAGGGGAAGGTGGGGTGACTCACCACTGCACACCATCCTTCATTCCCGTGCCTCCATCTCTAGTTGTATTGTGCCAACTCAAAAGGGCAAAATATCTGTGAACCAGCACACTTTCCTCATTACACTGACAGTACTTTCTTTTGTACACATGAAAGCTTATTTATATTACAGAAACATGTATTAGAGTACACAGTATTTCCTGGTATATTACCCTTTCACTGCCTTTATCACATAAGCATTTAATGTTTGAATTAAAGGAAATATGATAGAAAACCTAGTGCAGGTAAATGCGGAATGCTATAACCAAAAAAGGTGATTCTTCTGTATTTGATGAAAAAGGAATTCTGTGATTTCAGAAGACATAAAGACAAAGCTATGTTAAGCACAGTGGATCCCAAACAGATTAAAAAAAAGAGAAAGAGTTCATGGGACTGGGTCAGACCAAGCCAAAGACAAGGAAATGGAGTGAAGCCTGTGCAGCCCAAAGAGGAGTACAACAGAGGAACAATTATAGGATGAAGCGATACTCTGAGATGTGTCACTAACAACCTTGAAAAGCAGGCCAAAACAGAAAGTAAGCTCCTTAAAAAAAGACTGATAACTACTACTGGATTATAAGGCCATTAAAACCTAGGCATGATGTACATGTAATCCTGTAATCCCAGTACTAGGGAGACAGAAGCAGGACACTGCTAGATGGATAAGCCTGGTTGACATGAAGGATTCCAAGCCACTCTGAGCCATTACAGAGAGACTCTGTCTTAAAAGTTTTGCAATATTAAGTGAAAGGAAACCCAAATGGTTACTGGAACAGGATTGAAGATGGTCACTGTCTAGGAGTTGGTTTCATTTTCTCCATTAATTAAAAATTTAAAAGGCAGGAAAAAACTCAGGCCAGCAGAGAGGAACAAGCAAGCAAACTTTTACTAGAAGATGAAGAGTCACATACATAGCAGCACCACCCAGAGGAAAGCTCTCCAGAAGTACAGAGGGGATTCAGAAACCCCAAAGTCTAGGTTCCCCAGGGAGGCCTGGGCTTTAGTGCTTTTCTCTCCCCTAATTTTGGATCAGTCAGCTTAAAGCATGGAAGGCTGATAGACCAAGGCTTCAGTGATGAGGTGTTGGGGTCAATCTGAACTGGTTTGGATTAGTCAGCCGGAAAGAGACGCCTCTGCTAGAGGAGGAGCCCTCAGGCCTCGGCTCAGACCAACAACACGATGGAAGAATGGCATCTGCACTATTTATCAGTGGCTCTTCTCCGAGCTACCTGCCTGTCCAAAAGTATGGCTACTTCCTAGGTCCTCAAAATGATGCTGTGAAATACAAAAATATAGAACTGTAAAATAACCAACTTAGAGAAAAGAAGGTCTGTGAGTATATTTAGAAATTTCTCTTTTTTTTTGAAAGCACGGGGGTAAGTTGTTGACATAGCTCAACTCTCAAACCTTTCTTTAAACTAGCACAATTAAACACTTTAAAGGGTATCTGAAGGGCAGAACAATACCAGTTTCTCCAATGTAAGTGCCACCAGTCCTTTTAAGAAGGGTTTTAAAACTCCTTTTTAAAAATTCTGTAGTGTATACTTTCAGAATCTTCAGTAACAAGTTCTTTAAAAAGACACCCAGAATACTCACCTTTCGAAGAATATTCAATCTATACTTCAGTTTTAAATTTTCTTCTCTTAACTGCTCCAAACTTGGAGAAGCTTCTAAGTAACCACAGTTTTTCAGCCGGTCAATTTCAGCAGTCAGAGACTTAATCTCCTTTTCCTGTAAAGGGAAAGGCACCTTTCAGGCCAGTTCACATGAATGATATGGCAAATTGTACCATAAACTTACTTCCTTGTTTCACTTCTCCACAAGAGATAGCACAGGCGAGGAGAATGGAAAGAGGGGGCTCTCCCTGTGACAGTGATCTAACACTGGGAATTAGTTTTGATAAGATAAAACTGAGCATATGGATATGTGAGATGGGAACAAGAAATATAACATGATACACTGGCCATGGGCATGCACACCTATGATCCTAGTTCTCGGAAGGCTGATGTAGGAAGGTCAAGAGTTTGGGCCCACACAGGACAACTTGCAAGACCCTTTGTGATAAAGCAAAACACTGGGCCAGCAAGATGGCTCAGAGGGTAGAAGAGCTTGTGCTGCGTAGATTGATGACCAGAGTTCAATATCTGGGAATCACATGATAGAGAGCCAAAGCCTTCAAGTTGTCCTCTGACTTCCACATGCATACCATGACACATGTGCATCCACACCCGTACACTTGACAATAAATAAAACTAATTTTAAAAAGCAAATAAAAAACAAACTAGTTTCTTTTTCAGCTCAACAAAGCACTCTTGATTTTGTGAGAGTACAAGTTTCAGGCTTTACAAACCTGCCTATATTCGAAAATTTTATGACTTGACCTATTAAAACATACAAGGGCTGGGGACCTGGTTCAGTAGAGTACAGTGCTTGCCTAGCATGCTCACAGCTCTGGGTTAGAACCCCACTTTGATTTAATGAATCAAAAACGTCCATTTCTGTCAGGTATGGTGGCTATCCCAGCACTCGGGTGGTGGAGGATGGCACATCTGGCCTGGTCTACATAGTGAGTTCTAGGCCAGTCAGGGTTACATAGTGAGACCCTGTCTACAAACCTACCCACCCGCCCTCCATCTTTTCTCATATTCGAGAGTTCAAGTGTCTGCCTGGTGTCCTTTCTAGTACTAAATAATATTCTCTATTCCCAGTGTCCTACACCATAAACGTGGTTTAGAACATGCTTACCCGTCTACTAGGCCTTCTCGTATTTCGGGGCTGCTGGTTTGCATAGAGCAGTTCCTGTGACAGGACAGGGCGCGGCAAAACATTTTCCTACCACTCCCGTCCACTTGGCCGGAAAAGGGAATGAAACTGGTCCCACTTTCACTTTCTGAGGGTGGATTCCTCCCCTCCCACCGAGGTCGGTGCTGGTGGGTGTGATAACGAACCACTCCCGGTCCTTAGGAGGAAGCTTCCCGATGTCCCCGGACTCACCTGCCCCGCCCCACCTGGCCTCTCGCCCCAGCCCAGCCCAGGTGTGCCCGGCTGACAACATGTGTGGGAAGGTGTACTGGACGCAAGCCCCTCGCCCCGTTGACAGTCGAACGAGCCTGAGATGGTGGCTGGTCGTCTCCCCCCAGCAGGAAACTGCCGGCGGGGAGGCCCGAGAGCACAGAGGCCGTCACCGTCGGAGCCCACTGCGGCCCTCGCCTCGTCGCCATCGTCCCCTCCGCCCCGCCCAGGGCACCAACCTGCTGCAGCAGCCGCGCGGAGCACTGAGCCACCAGCCCGTCCATCCTCCCGACGGTGCCTCACACGCCAAGTGGCCGGAAGCGGAAATAGCCTAGTGATGGCCGGAAACGGAAGTTTCTCCGTCATTCGCGAAGATATCCAGTGGTTCAGGGCGCGTCCTCTGCTGCCCCCTCGCGGGACCTAGACGGCAGTGCGTGGAGAACGCGCGGGGGAGGGGTGTATCAATTCTCCGAGAACGCGCGGGGGGGGGGTGTATCAATATCTCTCTCTCTCTCTCTCTCTCTCTCTCTCTCTCTCTCTCTCATATCTATCATCTATCTATATCATCTATCCATCTATCTAATCATCTGTCTAATCTGTCTATCTATCTAGAGATATAGCTGACAAGGTTGAGGGACGATGGGGAAGAGGGAGGCTTGATCATAGCTTCAGAGTTGCTCTGTGCTTGGGTCTCTCTCTCTCTCTCTCTCTCTCTCTCTCTCTCTCTCTCTCATATCTATCATCTATCTATATCATCTATCCATCTATCTAATCATCTGTCTAATCTGTCTATCTATCTAGAGATATAGCTGACAAGGTTGAGGGATGATGGGGAAGAGGGAGGCTTGATCATAGCTTCAGAGTTGCTCTGTGCTTGGACTGACTTGGAGGCACGTACCTAGACCGTCTCTCTCAAGACACAGACGTGGGCAGAACCAATAAACCCATCCCTCCGTTCAACCAGCATTTACTGTGCCTCAGTGTGCCAGAACTATCCTCAGGGTCTGATAAGACAGACATGGCACTTGCACTCGTGGAGATGACATTTTAAATATGTGTATGACTGTATTGCCTGCATGTATGTTAAGTGCATCCGCATCATGCAATGCCCGTGGAGGCCAGAAGAGGGAGTCAGATTCCCCTGGACTGGAGTTATGAATGGTTGTTAGCAGCCATGTGGGTCCTGGGAACTGAAACTGGGTCTTCTGCAAGAGCAGCCAGTGCTCCTAACATCTGAGCTCCGAGACTATATTTTAAAGGGGAAGAGCAAAGTAAACAACTATTTTCTTTTTCTTTATATTGTATATATATATATTTCATTTTGAGACAGGGTTTTATACTCCAGCTTCAGCCTCCCAAGTGTAGAGATTACAGGTGTGCATTACCATGCCAGGCTAACAACCTGTTTTAATTAATAATAAAGTAATACGATAGTGAGTTGGGTCAGGCAGACTCTTGGAGCAGTTATATTTGATTTAATCTTTTTAGTATGTGTTTCCTAGTTTTGTTGAGGTATAATTGACAGCATAAATTGCATCTATTACTTGTACAATGTAATGTTTTCATATATGTATACAATGTGAAATGATAACCATAGTCAAAATAATTAACATACTGCTGAATACCTCACATCTCAGGGAGAGAGAGAGAGAGAGAGAGAGAGAGAGAGAGAGAGACTGGGGACTGAACCTAGGGTTTCTTATATACTGGCAAAGGCTCTAAAACTGAACTACAGTTATAGTCCTCTTTTTACTTTTTGGGACAGATCTTATTAAGTTGCCCAAAATAGCCTTGAATCACTCTGTAGCCCAAGCTTTCCTTGAACTTGTGATCCTCCTGCTTCAGCTCCCAAATACCTGGAATTACAGACCTCTACCAGGCCTAGCTCTTTTTTTTAAACTGTGAGATTGGTGGTGGTGGGGACAGTTTCTTGCTATTGAGCCCAGGCAGTTCTCAAATTCCAAATCTGCCCACCTCAGCCTCCTAGGTGCTGGGATTACAAATGTGAGCCACCATACCCAGTTTAAGAATATTTTTTTTGAGCCAGGGTCTCCTTGGAGCACTAGTTGCCCTGGAACTTTCTATGTAGACAAGTTTGGCTTAGATCTCACACAAAGCTGTGTGCTTCTGCCTCCCAAGTGCTAGGATTAAAGGGAAAATACATTCTTAAAGCAAATTTCAAGTATACAATACAATACTATTTAGGGTCACCATATAAAGGCGGGCGTGGGGGCTGCTGTGTTATAGGCAATGTAGCAAGACCCTTGTTGCAATAAAGAATAGACAAATAAATATGCTAACATTTAGAGTTCCAGAACTTAATCATCATGACAAGCTGAAACTCTTTTGCTTTAAGGTCTTTTTCATATCCCACATATAAGCAAGATCATATACAACATTTATCTTTTTGTGTCTGGATTGTTTACTTAGCATATTGTCCTCTGGGGTTATCCATGTTGTTCTACAGGACATGGTTTTCTTATTTCAGCCTGACTAATACTCAGTTGTAAGCCAGGCATGATGGCACACACCTGTAATCCCTGGATTTGGGAGGCAGAGGCTTCAGCTACTTGCAGAGTTCTAGGCCACCCTGTGCTATGAGACTTTGTCCCAAACAACAACAAACATAATAATTAACTGCATATATTGAATTAAAATTGTGAACAGTTAACCTGGGATATACAAGAGTATAGGGACTTTTAACTTGTCTCCTGTTTTCTGAGATTACTTATCACCACTTTACACAATGACAGCTATTTTCCAACATGTTTTCTGGTGTTTTAAATGCGTTTCCACAAATAGCTCAGAGAAGGGACTGCAGTAGCAGCAGCAACTACTTTCTACTGCCTCCTGCATCTTTAACTAGACCAGTATGCAAGGGGGAAAGGAGAGGACTGTCAGCATTTCTAGACAAGAGGAATGGATTACAAAAAAGTAGATTCTCTATTGTCATACTGCAGGAGGGCATTATTCTTTTTAGTAATATTGAAAAGAGCAACAATTTTTAAAAAATGCTTTTATTAACATTAGTGATACATAATGAGTTTGATTATCATGTGTTCAAGTATGTGCCTAATGTATTTTGATCACATTCACCTTCATTACCCTTTCTTGTCCAACTCCCACTAACCCCGTTCCTCTTTCCAACCAGGAAATGTCCTGCTTTCACGGGCATCTCACTAGTGACTATACCACTGAAAAAAAAACTCTCTCCCTCTCCCATCAAATGATAACTGCACCTAAATCCTCAGGAAGGGATGGGGCCCCATTTCCTGCTACCCTTTCCATGATAGGGTTGGCCCAATCTTGTGCAGGTCTTGTGCAGGTAGTCACAGCTGCTGTGAGTTCAAGACTGCAACAGCCATGTCATGTCCAGAAGTCAGCAACTGCCACTATGTACAGTGAAGCAGAGTTGGGGTTTATTAGAGATATTTTAATAGACGTTTCAAAGCACAAGTGTTAAAAGAGCAGTGCTCAGAAGAAATTCAGACACATTTGAGAGCATGGATGTAGACGTCCCAAAGAAGAGTTCAAAACCTAAGACACCCAAGTGTGGGTAAAAGCTCCTGTGTTGATTAGTCTTTGCCACCTTGACAGAAACTAGAGTCACCTGGGAAGGGGGAACCTGAATTGAGAGATTTCCTTCATCAGATTGCTTTGTGGGCATGTCTGTGAGATAAGAAAATTGCTGATTGATGTAGGGGTGCCATCCCTAGGCAGGTGGGCCTGGGCTGTATAAAAAAGGTAGCTGAGCAAGCCAGAGGAACATCAATAAGCAGCATTCCTCCAAGGCCTCTGCCTGTTTCTGCCTCCAGGTTCTTGCCTTAGCTCCTGCCTTGGTTCCTCAATGATTGACTGGGATCAATAAGCAAAATGAACCTTTTCCTCTCTGATCATTTTATCACAACATAAAACTACCATAACTCCTCAAAGGAGAGTTGCCTGTTTTTTTTTTTTTTTCTTTTCTTTTCTTCTTTAAAGACAAGCTAGCCTGCAAGTGCATTTTTATCCCAGGTTGGCCTCAAACGCATGGTGGTTCTCCTGTGATCCTTTCTCAGCCTCCTAGTGGTAGGATTACAGGTGTGTGCCATTGTGCTCATCTTTTATATTAAAAAAAATTATATTGAAAGTCTCATTAAGTTGACAGGGGTGAGCTGAGCATGGTGATACAAATCTGCAATCCCAGAAGTTGGGAGGGAGAGGAGGAAAGATGGGCTGTGAGCTGTGAGTGAAGGCTACATAGTTGAAACCCTGTCTCAAACAGCACAAATGGCTGGGGCTGGCCTTCAATTTACTCTATAGCCTTAGATCTTGATCTTTAATTTTTCAAGTTTTTAATTAGCATATGTTAATAGTACAGGAAAGTTAATGGGTTTCACTGACATTTTTATATATGAATATAATGTATTTTCATCATATTCATACCCAGGTACCCCCTTTTGTCACCCCCTCCCACTCCTGATGATCACTTTTTTTTTTTTTTTTTTTTTTTTTTTTTTTTGTCTTTTGGAAGCAGGGTCTCCTGTAGCCCCAGCTGTCCTGGAACTCATGAACTCACAGAGATCCGCCTGCCTCTGCCTCCCAAGTGCTGGGACTACAGGTGTGCGCCACGACACCCGGCTTCACCTTCTTCTTCTTAATTAAGCCCCTTTCTACTTCCCAGTCTTTTTGAATTTAATTAGAATACAGGAGGCCTTGAACTTTTGGTTTTCTTGTCTCAGTTTCCTGAGTACCTGGATTACCACACCACTGAGTTTTTTTCTTTAAATTTACTTTTTATAATTACATTTTATTTACTATTTATTTTTATTTTTCATGTGTGTGTGTACCCATACACAGCATGGGATTGGAGGTCAGAGGACAACTTTTGGAGTCCGTTTTCCCCTTAACCCTTGTGGGTCCCAAGGATCAAATTCAGGTCCTCAGAATTGGTAGCAGGCATCTTTACAGGCTGAGCCATCTCACTGGCCCTACTTTGTTGTTGTTTGAGACAGGATCTCCCATAGCCCAAGTAGTTAACGATGCTAGGTAGCTGAGGATGGCCTTGAATTCCTGATCTTTTATCTTCCACCACCCAACAACTGAGATTACATGCATTGGTTACCAAGACTGATTTAGTCTAAATTAAGTTGTACTTATCTTTTTTAAAAAAATATTTTATTATTTTTATTTTATGTGTATTTGTGTATTGCCTGCATGTAGGTTAGGTGCACCCATGTCGTGCAATGCCCGTGGAAGTCAGAAGAGGCTGTCGGATCCCCTGGGACTGGAGTTATGGACAGTTCTTAGCTGCCATGTGGGTGCTGGGATTCGAACCCGGGTCTTCTGTAAGAACAGTCAGTGTTCTTAACCGCTGAGCCATCTCTCCAGCCCCAGTTGTACTTATCTTTAGCCTAAGCAATAATATCGATGCATGAAGTTAATGTGCTGGTTATATATACTGTATATTATTATATATTGTGACTGTTTATGTCTCCATTGTTACATAGCGGGACTGAAATTTGAACTTTGGTCTTCACTTAATTCATACTCTGATTAATTCATTCGCTGCATAATTATTTGAAGATCTGTCATCTCTCAGGGAATACTCTGGCTCTGGGGCTAAGATAGTGAAAAACATGTATAGCCCATGCCCTTGTGCCTCCCCTAACCCAATGAGAGGACATGAAACCAAAGAATCAGATACAAGCAAGCAATTGGCCAAAAGAACCACAGGGACAAACTGTACCTGTTATCTTCAATTAACTTCATTTACCTGGCTGCTCTATGGTTGGTGGTAAGTTTATTACTGTACTTACCATATTCCCCTTAATACATTTATTCAGTTCAGAGTACCTTGGGGGAACCTTACTAATGGTATAGACCAAACACATGAAAATTAGTTATCCAAGAAGCACCCTGAATACAAGGAATAGAATATATACTCTATTACTGTTGCTAAACATTGTGGGCCCACAACAGGAGAGAGTGGATCCCAGCACTGTGGGCCTACAACAGTAGAGACTAGATCCCAGCACTGTGGGCCTCCAACAGTAGAGAGAGGATCCCAGCACCGTGGGCCTCCAACAGTAGAGAGAGGATCCCAGCACCGTGGGCCTCCAACAGTAGACACTGGATCCCAGCACCGTGGGCCTCCAACAGTAGAGACTGGATCCCAGCACCGTGGGCCTACAACAGTAGAGAGAGGATCCCAGCACCTTGGGCCTACAACAGTAGAGAGAGGATCCCAGCACCGTGGGCCTACAACAGTAGAGAGAGGATCCCAGCACCTTGGGCCTACAACAGTAGAGAGAGGATCCCAGCACCGTGGGCCTACAACAGTAGAGAGAGGATCCCAGCACCTTGGGCCTACAACAGTAGAGAGAGGATCCCAGCACCGTGGGCCTACAACAGTAGAGAGAGGATCCCAGCACCTTGGGCCTACAACAGTAGAGAGAGGATCCCAGCACCGTGGGCCTACAACAGTAGAGAGAGGATCCCAGCACCTTGGGCCTACAACAGTAGAGAGAGGATCCCAGCACCGTGGGCCTACAACAGTAGAGAGAGGATCCCAGCACCTTGGGCCTACAACAGTAGAGAGAGGATCCCAGCACCGTGGGCCTACAACAGTAGAGAGAGGATCCCAGCACCTTGGGCCTACAACAGTAGAGAGAGGATCCCAGCACCGTGGGCCTACAACAGTAGAGAGAGGATCCCAGCACCTTGGGCCTACAACAGTAGAGAGAGGATCCCAGCACCGTGGGCCTACAACAGTAGAGAGAGGATCCCAGCACCTTGGGCCTACAACAGTAGAGAGAGGATCCCAGCACCGTGGGCCTACAACAGTAGAGAGAGGATCCCAGCACCTTGGGCCTACAACAGTAGAGAGAGGATCCCAGCACCGTGGGCCTACAACAGTAGAGAGAGGATCCCAGCACCTTGGGCCTACAACAGTAGAGAGAGGATCCCAGCACCGTGGGCCTACAACAGTAGAGAGAGGATCCCAGCACCTTGGGCCTACAACAGTAGAGAGAGGATCCCAGCACCGTGGGCCTACAACAGTAGAGAGAGGATCCCAGCACCTTGGGCCTACAACAGTAGAGAGAGGATCCCAGCACCGTGGGCCTACAACAGTAGAGAGAGGATCCCAGCACCTTGGGCCTACAACAGTAGAGAGAGGATCCCAGCACCGTGGGCCTACAACAGTAGAGAGAGGATCCCAGCACCTTGGGCCTACAACAGTAGAGAGAGGATCCCAGCACCGTGGGCCTACAACAGTAGAGAGAGGATCCCAGCACCTTGGGCCTACAACAGTAGAGAGAGGATCCCAGCACCGTGGGCCTACAACAGTAGAGAGAGGATCCCAGCACCTTGGGCCTACAACAGTAGAGAGAGGATCCCAGCACCGTGGGCCTACAACAGTAGAGAGAGGATCCCAGCACCTTGGGCCTACAACAGTAGAGAGAGGATCCCAGCACCGTGGGCCTACAACAGTAGAGAGAGGATCCCAGCACCGTGGGCCTAAAACAGTAGAGGATCCCAGCACCGTGGGCCTAAAACAGTAGAGAGCGGATCCCAGCACCGTGGGCCTAAAACAGTAGAGA